AAAAAAAAAAAAAAAAATCTTCTAGTATACCAATCATAAACTATGAATAAACATTGAAAACAGAAAAAACAAACATCTATTCACAAGCTAATTTGTACATTCCCTATATATTAATCCAGAACGCACTGAGCCTATGTGGCTGCTTCTGGTGCTTCGGAATCATATGTGGCAAAATTACATGTTTCGTTATTAGGCTTGAGTAAATTTTAATTTAATTCCAAATAAAAAATAATTAGGTTCGGATTACCATAAATATGTTGATTATTTATGGTCATGTTACATGTATTAATTGCCTTTTCATATCATTCTTTATTATAACTATTGAATTGTAATTTTAAAAGTTAATAACTTTCGTATTTTTTATCAGTTTTACATATGTAATATATCAAATTAATCTTCTTTTGATGAACTTCGATTTAACATTCATATTGTATGTATAAAAAAATAATATATATTTATCTTTATAACAATAATAAAATTATTTTTAATATTAATTAGAAAAATAAAATTATTTATCAACTAATATATTTATATTTCAAGTAGTTATATGATATAAGTTATAAAAATTAATATAATATAACACATGTAAGTCATAAGTAACACATATCATTCTAAAATATATAGTAATATATTTTTTTTTTGTAAAAAAAGTAAACTAAATTTAATATAGTTTTTCATTAATTTTAAAATTTAAGAATAATTTTTTAACAAGCATCCGTGTAATACACGGGTGTTGTACTAGTAACTAATATACCAAACATAAACTAAGATGTACAATAACTGTACATATCCATAAGATGTATATATATTGTACATATACTGCACATATATTGATCATAAACTAATTTATATAATAAAACTATACTTCGTTACCATCATCCTCCTTATTGGCAAAAACTGTAAATAATCCCGGCGACTCCAATCCGAAGTCTGCGGATTTCAATTACTGGTTGATCTACACTCAATGAAAACCCCAAAAATCGAACCAAACATCGATTTTCTTGCAACCAACCAACCAACCATCTCCCCAACCATGGCGACGCCACAACGCTCGATGAGGTCGCCGACGAAAATTGAAGATGCCGCAATCTACCTATTCTTCACAAAGTGTGATGAGAGAGAATTTTCAGCGGTTGGGGATGAAAGGCGTTGGGGGATTTTACACACATGTCGAATGACGGTCAGCAACGGGGATGGGTGGGTGGGAGGAGGCGGAGCGGCCAATGGGCGGTGGGGGAGGAGCAGCGACGGATTTGAGAGAAGAAGAAGAAGAGAGAGAGAGAGAGAGAGAGAGAGAGAGAGAGAGAGAGAGAGAGAAGCGTGATAATTAAGCTCTCATTAAATATGCTTTTACCATAATTAAAACAATCTAGTATGTTTGTAAATAAATATGATAGTTTTAATTGATTTGCAAATAAATATATATGAATTGTAAATATGTAATAAAAATTGTTAATGTGTCCTCTTTTTATATTTATAATAATAATTGTTTGCCTATGTAATGGGCCCATATTGTCAAGAGTTAGAAAGCAATATCTCGTGTTATTTTGTGTTTGGCCCAATAATTTTTCTTGGAAAGGTGGGCCCACCGTTTTGGGCTCAATTAATTTGCATTTGAAATTAGAGGAAATTACACCCCTTACAATAAGTTATGATATATATTGCACTTATACACTAATTAATTTTTTATTTATAAAATTACTAAAACAAGCACAAAATATTGCATTTATGCCTAAAATGTTGAATTATGAAGAGGTAACCGTTTGTAAGCAATTATCATGTCTAATTAAATGCAATTGGGATAAGAAAGTGAAATCAAATATTTACTTACCAAAAAAGGAAAATTAATATCTCTCTATCTTCTATGATCTCTCTCTCTCTCTCTCTCTCTCTCTCTCTCTCTCTTTCCAGAAAGCACCCACCGCCCACGTTCCCCTCTCTGTGCAAAAAAAACATCTTCAATGGCCAAGAAAAAACTACAAATTGCTACTCGAAAAAAAACTGACGAACAATGCCAATCGAAACGACATAATACATATTAAAATCTTTGTCGGTGTTGTTTGACTTTCGTACTCGAAACCGGGTTCTTCTTCGTCCATATCTTTGTCGGTGGATTTTGGTTTCTCCAATTTACGGGGTCTCCGAATATTTCTCAGTGGATTTGGGTCGGATTAGAAATCGACATAATGTTCTGAGGAAATTACACCCCTTACAATAAGTTATGATATATATTACACTTATACACTAATTAATTTTTTATTTATAAAATTACTAAAACAAGCACAAAATATTGCATTTATGCCTAAAATGTTGAATTATGAAGAGGTAACCGTTTGTAAGCAATTATCATGCCTAATTAAATGCAATTAGGATAAGAAAGTGAAATCAAATATTTACTTACCAAAAAAAAAATTAATATCTCTCTATCTTCTATGATCTCTCTCTTTCTCTCTCTCTCTCTCTCTCTCTCTCTCTCTCTCTCTCTCTCTCTCTCTCTCTCTCTCTCTCTCTCTCTTTCCAGAAAGCACCCACCGTCCACGTTCCCCTCTCTGTTCATCTTCAATGGCCAAGAAGAAACTACAAATTGCTACTCGAAAAAAAACTGACGAACAGTCCAATCGAAACGATATAATACATATTAAAATCTTTGTCGATGTTGTTTGACTTTCGTACTCGAAACCGGGTTCTTCTTCGTCCATATCTTTGTCGGTGGATTTTGGTTTCTCCAATTTATGGGGTCTCCGAATATTTCTTAGTGGATTTGGGTCGGATTAGAAATCGACATAATGTTCTGAGGAAATTACACCCCTTACAATAAGTTATGATATATATTACACTTATACACTAATTAATTTTTTATTTATAAAATTACTAAAACAAGCACAAAATATTGCATTTATGCCTAAAATGTTGAATTATGAAGAGGTAACCGTTTGTAAGCAATTATCATGTCTAATTAAATGCAATTGGGATAAGAAAGTGAAATCAAATATTTACTTACCAAAAAAGGAAAATCTCTCTCTCTCTCTCTCTCTCTCTCTCTCTCTCTCTCTCTCTCTCTCTCTCTCTCTCTCTCTCTCTCTCTCTCTCTCTCTCTCTCTCTCTCCAGAAAGCACCCACCGCCCATGTTTCCCTCTCTGTGCAAAAAAATCATCTTCAATGGCCAAGAAAAAACTACAAATTGCTACTCGAAAAAAAACTGACGAACAGTGCCGACGAAACACCACAAATTAGGTCGAGTTCTTGGCTTCGTAAAATCCAATCAAAAGCACAACCCAAAATCGTTCAGAAGAAGTTAAATTTTGAAAAATACATGAACCCTAACCCTAAACGCAAGTCCGTCGGCAAGGCTAGAGTGCTAAATTGTAGTTCATCTCCCGATTTAGACGATTTCTAATCCGACCCAAATCCACTGAGAAATATTCGGAGACCCTGTAAATTGGAGAAACCAAAATCCACCGACAAAGATATGGACGAAGAAGAACCCGATTTTGAGTACGAAAGTCAAACAACACCGACAAAGATTTTAATATGTATATGTTAAGTATATTGTATGTATATAATTCCTTTTGTATTAAATCGTTTCGAAGTTGTTATTGATCAACAACATTATGTCGTATATGTTCAGTATATGTAATGTATATGTGACATGTTTTTTGTGTCGTGAGAATTTTTTGGAGCAAATGTATATGTTCATTAACCAATATCTGGGTATGCTAATAGTTTATCATATGTATATATTCTTGATTGGAGCAATTGTATATGTTCATTAACTGATATTTTATTTCTTTCTGGTGTATATTCAACACATGGTTAAGCAAATGCAAAAATTTCACTTGGTATATATTAAGTATATTGTGGGAATATTTTGTATATTCATTAATCGATTTTTGTGATCGTGTATATTTTGTATCTTTCTGATCGTGATTTTTCTGTATATTGAGAGAATGCATACGTTTATAGACAATATATTTTTTATAATTATGTATATGTTGCGTTTATAGACAGTATATTTTCAGTATATGTTGTGTTTTTAAATATTTTATTTAGGCGATGTTGAACCATTGATAACAATAATAAAATTGATCATATATCAAACATAAACTACTTACCTGATTGTAATAATATCACATATAAAACACTTAAAATATACCATACATTAAGAAACATACGCCACCAGAAAAATAACAAACAAAACAATTCATTTTACAACACTAAAAATAATTGCAAATTCTGTCTACGAAACATATACTTAAAATATACAACACATAAATTGATCATATACCAAACATAAAAATAATAAAAATAGATAAATATTAATTCAGAAATCGATTTGAACCAATCAAATCGAACCCAAGGCCCGAATTAAGACTTGAAATTGCGGGCATGACCGCAGTCATCTTCTCCGATGGATCCCCCTATGCGCCGCCTCATTATTGGACCTGAGCTCCGACAACTCGGCGCATCTCGGACTGGATTGTAGAGATCTCTCCCTCGATCCCCCGCATATCATATACAATCTCAACCCGAAAATAGCCGATTGCGACCGGACGCGTCTCTGATTGGCGGCAAGCCCGTTGAATTTGTCGAGCCTCGACCTTGATCTTGAGGGAGCGGTCGTAGGCCACGACATCGCCGCCTCTTCAACCGCTTCTCTTCCCGACACCGTTAAAAAAAGCCATAGAAGATGACAGAAGCAGAGAATTTTTTTCGTCGAGGAGAGAGAGAGAGAATGTTGTATACCTTATTTATGATTTTTTTTCTTTTTTTTGATACTAATGGAAGATTCGTGCGTTTTATTTTTTCTTTTTTTTTTTTTTTGGTAACATATTTGTATGCATAACCCTATTATTTGTTAAGTTTTAGGTAGTATTGCAATTTTTTTTTTCATTGGCAGTATATATGCAATTATTTGTAAATCATGTAGTAGAGATATAAATTTCCCTTGAAATTAAGTCAAAACGGGACATTCATTCAATCACAACAGTTAATAAAATATCAACGGAGAACAATCTTATGAACTGAAAAACTACCATCAGAAAGTGTTTGATGACTGCTTAAAAAACCAAGAAACTAAATACAGAATATCAAAAAAGAAAACTAAAAAATCCATCAGCTACAGGCAACTCACTGTTGCCCGATTTCAGGGCACCAAACGAACATCCAATCTACCGGAACCAAATCAAATCAAATCAATCACCCGACAGATTAAACTTAAAATGCTGTTCAAAATAACCCATCATCAATAAGAAACCGAGCAGGCTCGATTTTAGCAGCATGGCCATACTTAGAACAGCTATACTTCTTGTGTACCCCTGTAAGCTTCTCGGTCCCTGCCCGTTGGTGCAGACTTACCATCATTTTAGAACATTCCCTGCAAAAGAAATTAAATAGCAACTCAATATCCCTGTTTATTATTATTACTTTTTTTCTTCAAATTCTTTTTAACCAAAAATGAAGAAATATAGTAATGAAGAGAAAGACCACAACTTACATGAGCTGATCTTGGCTGTAACTCGTGTAGCTCACACACGTTTTGCTCCACTGCTTACGTCCGGTCAGAGTGCATTGAGCTGTGAAAACTGCAGCTGCCGCTAGCAATGAAGGTGGGAACTTAAGCATCTCATAACTAACGAGGCAAAGCTCGACCATGAAGAATGATAGCATCTCCAACTGAGATCAAAGAAAGTTAAACCAAAAAAAAGGATTCGTTTCATTCTCATAATCAGCTCAAAGTATTTAACATGTCGCAAACTTAATCAGAGAGCATTTAGATATATTTTTGACCAAAACACACCTTATTGTTGTCGGATTGAGCAGCCTTTAGGAAACGTCTCATGAAAGGATATGGAGTCGGCAAAGACAGATTGAATTGCAATGTGTTGATCATCAGTTTCTCCTGCAAGAAAACCGCAGTTCAAGAATTTTCGACCAAAACACATCTATTTGTTTCGTTTTTCTTCATTTTTTCTTTTCTACTACTTGAGTGAGAAAATACCATATCAAGAATTTCTTGACGGCAGTAAGCTTTGTCGGATATGAAAATAAGGTCATTCACAATTGGGACTGAAACCTCTTCATACTTGCAGGCAAGGAGCATAGCTGTAATCCCAACAAGCTGTAATTTCTTTCTCAAAACGGGTTTCACAGCCAAGAACCTATCCATTATGTTAACCATCAGATATAATGTCTCATCCATTAGCTCGAATTTGTGGTGCACCTAAATACACGTAAACATGCAAATGTTAGTAATAAGCCAGCACGAAAAGCACAAAGAAAAGAGAAAAAAAAAAATAGAAAGCATTTTGCTTTCTCTCTTTTACACCTCAATCAGCCAGTCGATAAGGATTCCTCTCATTCTCTCGTTGATGTCCGATTGATGTGCCATGTAGTTAGGTGGCACACAGCTTGTTCTCTGGAATTACAAGTCACAACAACCCAAAACCAGAGAGGAAAGTGGAAATAAAATATAAAGGGTTATTATTAATTTATAGTACTTAGAAAGTACCACATTAAACAGAACTGATCATTATCCTCCTTTTTGGCATAAACAACAAACATTGGCCAAAAAGAAAGTTGTTGCTTATCATCTTTAGCTAGCAAGCTAGTAAAACAGTTATATAATAGGCATTGGCAGCTAAGGAGATTCAACCATTCAAAGAAATGATTTTCACCTCAGCCTTCTTGTAATAATCATATATATCATCAATGTACTCGGTGACCGCAAGTGGGTTCTTGTTATCGACACCATCTATGTCCACCACAGCCTCACTCCCATCGATGTCTTCCATTTCAACTTCCACATCCTATTAACCAAATTTAACAACCATAAAAAGAAAGTTCATACTTAAGAACTAGTCCACAATACTGCATTTTTAAAGTATAAATTGAATACCATGTTATCAATTTCGTCAAGAATAGCTTCGGTATGCTGCACGAACATGGGCACTTCATGATCGTCCGTGGCCTTGTTATCCTCTTCATCTATTGCATCCACAATAATACAGTCCTCCGGTTGGCGTGCAAACGAATTTGACTGCACGATTTTTATGCCGAACAAGAGATAAACTTCATTAATTGCTCGGTTATTTCCAGGTTTTAGGCTTAAATTTCTTCTGTAGCACTTTTACATCTTATCTTAATCCAATTTCAGAATATGATATGTGTAAAATATATTAATACCTCAATAGAATGTACCTTGGCAGCCACTTGTGCAGCAAACCTCCTGAAACGAACCAAGAACGATAAAAGTTAATCAAAGTACATTCACGGGCACCCGAGCTTTCCCCCAGACCAAGAAAGAGAAAAGAATACAGGTAAAAAAGGCAAGAAGCTTAAATTTACAGACCTAGTGACCGGACGGTGGACAGGAATCAGATTCTTACAAGAGGGATTGTTGTTCCTGGACAAGATTAAGAATTCAAAACATCTAAGCAATTGGAAACATATAGCACAAAAATAACAAACACCTATTTTATATCAATTCTACATACTCTTTCAAAGCCCCTCTTTTTACAGCAGCACAAGGGTGAGGAACAACTTCAACTATGTTGGCATCAAGTGTACTCAATGCCCTTCTGTTATTCCCAATACATTTTTGGCCTCCTTGCAACAAACCCCCTAAAATTCGTACAATTAGAAATAAAAATGTGAAATTTAATCAGACAACCTTCACATAACCAGGATTTTACGCTGTAACTCATGGTAAATAAATTCAGATTTGAACAAAATGTAGAAATCTAAATGAAAAGGAGACATAAAAAGGGCTGGATTTAGAGTACCTTCAGCTTTTGAAGATCTGATCAAACCCGGAAAGTTCTCTTTCGACGCGGCCATCAGTCGTCTTCGAACAAGTCTTCCGAAAAAATTCCAAACATAATAAATCAAAGGACAAACAAATAAAATCAGATTCAAGGCGAAATCAAGACCAACATAACACAATTCGATAGGGGGAAAAACAAAGAAGGCAACCTCAAAATCAAGAAAATCAGAAGAAAAAAGAAACCCACTTTACCTCTGTGAATTCACTCAAGAATCCGATGGGATTTGAGAAAGACGAGAAAGAAAAGAGCCCTTTAGGATCAATTCGATTGAGGATCAAATGGGAGTTCGAAAAAAGAGATCTTTCTCTCTCTCTCTCTCTCTCTCTCTCTCTCTCTCTCTCTCTCTCTCTCTCTCTCGATCTCGTTCTTGAGAGTGTTCAATCGAATTTTCTGGCATAGAAGGGGAAAGAGCTGATAAATGTGCTTCTGGGCTCACATTACAAGCCTCAAAATTCTCTCTTTTCTCTTCTTCAAGTATTTGAAAACAACGGCTAGTTAAGGTCATATGCGGTGTACTATGAAAGGTTGTGTTTGTTCCCTGTTTGGCCCAACCAAAATCCAACGGTTATTTTTTAGCTCTTTTGAACTAAATAATAAAAATGTCATTTATTATTAAGTATTTTAAGTATTAACCTCCCTTTTTGGTTTATTTTTTGTAATTTGATTAAAAAAAAAATGTGATAATGATGCTATTTTTTTAAGTTTTTTGAGTATTTTTGTGGTGTGCCAAACAGAGCATTGATATTTCCTTGCATCACACATCTTCATTATATTATATTTATAGCAAGCATAGTTCATGTTCCCAATTTCATTGCATAAAATCCACCTTATGCCACTTATAATAAGGCCATAATTATGGAATCATGAGAATATACAATAGAAAAAAATATATATATATATATTTTTGTAAAAATGGTGGAATATATATTATGCACCTTAAAAAAAGACATTTTTATTCAATTAAAAAAAAAATCATAGTACTTAAACGAAAATATAAGGAAAATTGTATGCTATATGATTGTATATGCATGAAGAAAAATATATGAAAATAAAGTGTCTGTATTAAGAAAGGACATTAGTTTTTAATAATATAAATAAAGTATACTATTTGATAATATAAGCACATAATTTTATTTATAAAGTAAGATGAGTAAACCAGCTTAATTGTGAGTAAACCAGCTTAATTGTTACATTATGTCAAACAGTCAAAGTAAGTATGGATTTATATTATATTGTTTGCTGGATCAAATAGTACCTGGTATAAGGCTCATGTTTATCAGCATCTCAACCAATTAATAATTAATATGGATCTATTTATTTTCTTAAAGAAAATGATGGTAAGCAATTATAACATCTCATATCGTATGGATCACCACACACGTATCCCCTTATATATAATTTCATAATGCACTGAGTTTAAATGGCGGCTTCGCACGACTCGTACTCTTACTTGACAAAAATTTATGCCTTGTAATATGGTTTGGATAAAAATTACATATTTTTTTATAGCAAATAACTTAGGTTCAATTTACCATATATATATATATATATATATGCGCATATTTAATATATTTAAATCATTCCATATAAATATATTTATTATCTTCTTTCTAATGTGCATATGATCATACTTTCTAAATTTTTTTATGTGTTCATATTATTTTCTTATGTGTTTTAAATAAAAATATAACAAATAAAATTAATTATGAATATAAATTAGTTTTTAAAATTTAAAATAGTATTATTAATTCACTTAATTATTTATTATAAGTTGTTATATATTTTTCTTTCCAACTTCCACAAAATATATATTTTTTTTTTCTTTTTTATTGTACAATTGATTATTTTATCACTCACTCATGTAGTACACGGGCGTTGTACTAGTTTGAATGTTACATTACAATTGAAAATTTTGATTGATCCATATTAAGATTGCCTTTCCATTTCAAAGATAAAGATTGAAACTTTATACTAATGGAGCTCCATTTGCAAAGGCTCCCCCAAATTACACATACACAATGGCCAAGTTTTTGGAAAGCAAAAGATATGATTGATTTGATTTTGAAATAATATTCCATGGAGCATAGACACTTTTCCATGAATTTTCTCTTCTTTTTTATTGCTATACTCTTCAACAATTTTTAACATAATTTTGTCCAATGGCACTCATATTGTGTAATTTATACTAAGAATCATTCGCATGACATTTTGACCTTATTGATTCCTTAATTGTGTGTAAAGCATCTCAAATGTCAATGTTTGTTAAACCATGATACACCTTTCTAGATTTTTTTTTTTTTTTTTTTTTGTTCTGTAAGTGGTGATAACTAGCTAATAACCGCCCCCCTTGTGTTGAACCGAACTGTATAACAAGTTGACAACCCATGAGTTGAGCCGAGCAAATTAAGAATTTTTTGACGCTTTGAGCGCCTAGTGTGACGATGTTTGTCACATTTTTGTTGCGTTTTTTTTTGTTATTTTTCTTTTATTTTTTCTCCATGTTAAGTCTTTTAGTTAGATTTTAGTCTGTTTTATCGTTTATTGCGTATTTCTCTCTTTTGGTCTTTCTTGTGTTTGGGTCGTTTTTCGGTTTTTCGTCGTCGTTGGTTTGCATGTTATAAGACTCGGGAGGATTAGTTTTTCATGATAAATGGACAGGGTGAACATAATTAGATAGAGTGTTTCGTTGGCGACATACAAGAGGAAACGAAACCAAATTCGGAGGTCGGACGAGCTCGAACGGACATAATACACAAATTAATGCATTGAGGCCCGAGTGCCCAAGCTTCGCGCCGCGCCGCGACCACGCCACGACATCGACAGAGAACAAGCGTTCCTTTCTTGTCGAACCGCGAGCTGCACCATGCCATGAAGGACCTCTCTGTCGCGTCGCGAGCTGCTGCCACGTCGCGAAGCTCACTCCCAGACTACCTCTGTCGCGCCATGAAGAAGAAGCCTGCCGCGCCGCGTTGCTGCCATGAGATGGACAAAGGACTTCGCACCTGCTGCCTGCCGCGAAGAGAAGACCGTCGCGTCGTGGTGAGGACGTGTGCTCTTGCTTCGCGCCGCGGTGTGGACGTACGTGTGCCACGCCGTGCTCCTGCCCACGCCCGCGGGCCCATGTTGCATATATACGGGATCGGGAAATAGAACGGGAAGAATTCATTCACGCCGAGAACACACGAAAAACTTCTCTCATTCGTTTTTCATTGTTTCTTCTTCGTTCTTTCATAGTTTTCAACGGAAAACTTGGATTTTGTTCTTGCTTAGGAATTTTATCAAATTCAACCTTGGAATTTTATCGATTGTAAGGATCTCTTTTCACTTAATTGTTGATTATGAATTCTATGATTGAAATGATTGCTTGTGTTGATAATTCAATATTTATGATAGGCTAAATTCATATTATAGGGAATAGGGGATTGATGTTTTGGAATCGTTTGTGATTGTGGGTGTTCGTCGATTTTAGGGTGACAGTTCAACTTAAAATTGTTCAACTAAGTTCGATAAGTTCATGCTTGATGTAAATCTAAACGGGCTACTTGATTAACCACCTTCTAGTCTAAGTTAATCGACTCTTCGAACCGAAAGGGAAGGAGTCGGTCGAAATAGGCTCGCATAAGGTAGGCTTGTTCGTAACTGTTTTGCCTAGGAGTTAAATGACTTGTTAATTTATCGTTCTAGTTTGTTCTCTTGTTACGAAGAGTTATTGATGATGAGTACTTGAGCGTGCTAGTTATTCAAATCACTTAACTGAACAATCATTTGCCCATTAATTGCAATTTAAACCAAAACGGACATCCCCGACTCCCTAGCTTCTCAAATCTAACTTGTTCTTTGTTGCTCGCTATTTTTATTGCTTTATTTAAATCTTTGCAGTAGTTGATAATTAAAAACCAATCTCAATCTTTGATTTAGAATGTTTAGGAATTTTATTTCTTTTTGTACAAGTGAATAAACGTGCATAATTTTCCGGCTAACCTTCCTCGAGAGACACGACCCGGTGTCCGAATCTTTTGATTCTACTCCGGAAAAAATATTTACAACAGACGACTCAGAAGAAGTTGTCTAGGAAGGTAGAACCAACAATCTCTCAAGGAAGGTCGAGTCAACAATCTCTCGAGTTGAAACCAGGAAGAGCACAATGAAATGTTGATGACATTTTGTTGTTTCGATGGACATTTGATACGAACTTGGTTGGCCCATATCGAAATAAAATGCTCTTCAAGTGAGTACAAACTTTAATATTCGTTTTTCGAGTGAACGAAACTCCTCAGAAGTCAACGGTTGTTCAATTTATAGTATTTTTCATATGGCTAATGACCAAATTAACATACTTATAGCCAAAGGACTCCAAAACCTAATATGTCCCATCATTGACAATATTTCATAATATCAAAAAATCTAACATTGCATGTCTAACAACTCCAAACCACAATCAGTTAGGGACGATTGTTTATAATTTCTACAATATATCAAAACTCAAATTTAACTTTAACTTAATCAGGGGCGGGGCCAGGATTTCAAATCTACCCGGGCTAGAATTAGTTTTGCGAAAAAAAGTATATAGATACATATATATATATATATAATAAATTATTAAAAAAAGGCATCTTTATTAAACATAATAAATTACTAAATATGATATCTACTAAATATGATAATTTATCGAACATGATAAAAGTATCTAAGAAAGGGGAAAAGCTCACATCATTGTTCAGGAAAAAAAAAAAAAAGAAAAGATGGTGCCGCGGGAAGGAGGTCGAGCAATCAAAGAAGGGAGCAAGAACTGAACAAGAGAATCTTTCTTTTTGTTTTTTTATAGGTAGAATCTTTCTCTATATTTGCTATATATGTTATGTGTAAATGGTATTATTGTAATGTTCAATTCAATTGATGTCTATGCGTGAGAGGTGAGAAATTAAGAATAAAGAACGATTTAATGGGCCTCTTCCCTTATTGTAATATAATAATGAGAAATTGAATGTGGGTGGGCTGAATTTATTTAAGTGG